GTGACACAAGACTGTCACTGATAACTGTTAAAGCTGGGTGATGGGTGCACTGAGGGGTGATGGGTGCACTGAGTTTATTACATTATAATCTCTGTTCCTACTTATACTTGAAATTTTCCCTTAAAAAGTGTTCAGAAGTCTGGGGTTTTTAAAGGAAATACTTGCCCAGAATAGCGATTCTAATTTGCGGGGAGCTGGCATATGGTCAGTAACTGTTACCTTGGAGTTAGCCTTGTTCCCTCTAGGACACGTATTTCTTGGTTTATTTAGCTAAGAATTTTTGCATGTTTAGGGCTTTTGTTCCTTTTTCGGATGTGTGAAATAGCCTACTGCAATTGCTGACTTTTCCCTTTGTTAACTATGTCTGTGGAATTTGAAACTCTGATTGCTAAAGAATATTTTTGACCAGTATCTCTGAATCACATCTGAATAACAAGTTTTATGACTGAATTTGCTTTAAAAATCTAAGCCTAGTTATAATTGTGTATTATATTATACAACAGATCCATTCCAAGAAAGCTGCATATAAACTTAATTGAATTTAATTACATCTTAAATGTGCTATGAGAGTTCACTCCTTAAATCAAAATTATAAGTAATTCTATTGTAAAGTAATGGCACACTCTGGTTTAAAATTTATACTGATATACGTGAACAAAATTGTTTATGGTATTCTAATGTTTAACGCATGATGAAAGGCAAAGATGCATTTGAGTCAGGAAAGTTAGTAATTATACCATTGTGTCCTTTTTCTGAATGAGAGGGAGACAGAAAGTAGGAAGGTGAGAAGGAATATAAAAGTAATTTAAATACAGCTTTTCAAGTAGTTTTTTCACTATTATACCAAACATCAAAAAAAATATTGATTTCATTTTTATTGTCTACATTATCTGGCAAGAGGATAAACGCAGTTTTATAAACACTGAAACTTATGAAAACTCAGAAATCTGTCCTCGAAACTGTTTAGAAATACAAATTTAAAATAATTACTACGTCTCATTTCTATCATAAGCAGATATTTGTTGTTATGCTTTATTAGCTGTGCTTTACGAGCTGTGATCTCTGGGTCTGTGCCCTGGACCAGTCAGATGTTCTGGCTATATATTACTAGACGAGTTTGACTGACAAATATTAACGTTCACAAAGAGCCATGAGAAGAGAGGCGATAACTGAAGTGTGACACACAGAAAAGGAAATGGAAAGACAAGTTAATATACTGTTTTCATGCAAGGATTTCAGAGAATGGGAATAACATTAACTGAAGACACTAAAATATCATTTAGTTTACAATTTGAGAAGGAGAAAAAAAGGAATAAGAAGAGAAAAAAAGGAAGAAAAGGAGGAAGGAGAAGAAACTAAATCTGGAAGCAAAGTTCAGCCAATTTAAGGCAAGAGTTGCTCTGAATAACTTATTAATGATGTTAAACTCTTTTTTAAATTAAATTTATTGGGGTGATATTCACTAATAAGATTTCATAAGTTTCAAGTGTACAATTCTGTAATACATCATCTGTTTATTGCACTATGTGCTCACCACCTAAAGTCTCGTATATTGGACCGCTAAACTCTTCATAGACAGATGTGAACCAGAAAATCCATGTGGTATCAGCCATAAATTGAAAATGTTAAGTTTACTGGTTATAACTCAGCAATTTCTAGGCACCACCAAGGAAGCCTATCAAATTAGAGAAACCCAAAAAGGAAAGCAAAGGTTTTGGTGTTTCACATACCCGAGAAGATTTTTAAAAATACTTAAAATGATAAGATGCAACATTATCAATAATCTGTGAAACACATGAAGACATTTTCCACAGAAGTCCACTCACGTGCTTCCATGGGATCCCTTCCCGCTGGTATTCCTCTTGTTCTTGCTTCAGAACCAGCTGAATAAATAGCTGCTGCAATTTCTCATTGCAGTAGTTGATGCAGAATTGCTCAAAGCTGCAAGAAAAGGAATAAATTAGGTTTAAACAATCAAAATGTAAACAACAGTGTTTAAAGTATCTTATCCTGTTTACCTGTTGTTGTCAAAGATTTCAAAGCCATAGATATCCAAGACACCAATAACAGTGTTTTTCCCATGGATTGTGGTGTCAAAGTTCTTGACCTCAATGATGTTGTTGATGCAAGTCACGATCCAACAGAAAAGGCGCTCATATATCGCCTGTGCAGAAAACAATATCGTAAATTCTTGCCCACTGGGAACAAGTCCCAAGTTTAGATTTGTGCTACGTTTTAAATTCCTATCCTCCTCCTCTTCCTCGTTTAGGACAGTTGTTATTACCCGAAGCAGAACAATAAGAAATACAGATTGTCTATTACAAAAAAACAACACAATGGATGCAAAACTACAGTAAATAGTTTGGACTTTTAAGATTATTATCAGTCGCTCCACGTACTGTATTCCAACAACATGCCCAGGTTTGTTTCTGTGCCCACCTATCTCGATAATTTGTCTACTCCTCGTATAAGTCACTTCATCACTTTGTTGTTAATCTCATCAACTATAAAAAGTGGAAACCCTCGAGTTCACGGCTGTTCCACTAAAACTCTATAAAATTGAAAAATATCAATCTTGATTTATAATGCTAAATAAAGATCTGAGCTGAAGGCCAGTTTGAAATTCCTTGAGAGTCAAACACACATCCAATGCACAAGGATACATACGCCAAGTCTCACGTAGACGAAGGCACCATACACTAACACAGCCTGATACGAACATGCCCTGCCGACATCACATCTTTAGAAAGCCTTTCTTTAACATCTCCCTGCAGCCACTCGCTCTTTACTGATACACATCTATACACATGCCTCCGTTCTTCACTTCCCCTTTACTCTTCAATCCGGTCTAGTCTTTGCTTAGCTTCCACTACTCCACTGAAACAGCTCATTAAGGACCCTGGGTCCCTCTGCAGAGACACTTTCTTACACCGCTATGTGGATATCTTATTCAGATACTCAGCACCTCTCAACCTAGTGACCCACTCTCTTCTAGAAACCTTCTCCTCTCCGGGATTCACGATACTACACTTTCCTAACTTTTATTTATTTTATTTCACTGCCTGCTGCTTCTTGGTGACCTTTGGTAGGTCCTCCTCTACCTGACCTCTGAAAGCTAGAATTCCTCCTGTCCTGGTCCTCTTCTCTTCACTCTCGGAAGCCTCCTAGGTTGTATCACCTAATATTAAACAATAGTAATACAGCGCTATTCACAAGTGTATTATCCCAATGCAGACCTTTCTTCTGAACTCCAGATTCCTATGCGTGACTGCCTACCCAACGACACTCACAGCCATCTCCAATATACGTCCAATTTTCCAATTTTCCCACCCCCAAAACTGTCCCTACCCTACTTTTGACCATGAATAAACGGCCAGAGAAATTTAGAAATTCATTCATTCTTTCGACAAGTATTTGCTGAGTACTTCCTATGTGCAGTTTGTTGGAGACACAGTACTAAGGAAATATAAACATGGTCTCAGTCTCTAAGGAGCTTAGGGAGTAAGGTGAGGGGAAAACTACACACACATGCACGCACAATAAAGCAAACACGCAAGCAAATAAATAAATGTAGGTGAGGTGAATGGGATCTGAGGAGAATTTAACCTTTTCAATGTTTCGAGAGGCCAGAGAAGGCTTTTCTGAGAAAGGGGGCTGAGAACAGGATGAGTAAGAGTTAAACAAGCAAGAGGAGAGAGAAGAGCAATCCCAGCAGAGGAAACAGCACAGGCAGAGAGGCCCTGTGGCTGGAGGAAGACAGGGATAAAGACAACTCGTAAGGCCTGAGAGAAGACTAATGTGCTGAAGTGAAGGAAGCAGGCTGGAATATGGCATAAAATGAGGCAGGAGAGGCAGGTCGGAGCCAGATCGTGTTAAGGAATGTCCTTGATTCCATCATTCCCCAGACAAGTCAGTCCTGTGAATTTCATTTTCTAAGTACAGTTGTCTCAACTCTTCTCCCCATTGCCACTGCTGCCTTCCTAGTCTGAGCTGCCACTGTCTCTCTCCTGGATTATTGGAATATCCCTTTCACTGGTTTATTTGCTTCCACGCTTGCCCGATCCACCTTCCTTCTCACTGTGTACTCCATAAGATTATCTGTACTGAGGCCGGCATTATCATTTTAAAAATTTAAACTTGATGTCATTTTCCCACCTTCAAATCTTCCACTCTCCATTGCACTTGGATAAATGTAAATTCTACCCTAGACTAAAAACCAAGACTGAGATTTACAAGAGTAAGAATTGGAATAGATAGCAAACTAATCAACCAGCAAAAAGAAAATGTTAGACTTAAAAAAATAAAGCATTTGCCACACAGAAATTAGACAAAGGTTTAACGTTATTAGCTCTTATAAATTGACAATGAAAAGATAAGAGCCCCAAAGAAATTCGAACAAAGGATATACCCAGGCAATTCTCTGAACGGATTTAAATACCTTATATGACAAGATACTCAAATATACTAGGAATGAAAAATTAAAGTAACGATAAGACATTACTATATACCCCTTAAAAAGCAGTAAATTTAAAGTTTAAAATCAGTGTGTGCTTTGACCTGGCAAGCTCATTCCTGGGAATCCACCCAGCTGAAATAAAAGCACTTGTGTGTAGCGATAGATGAACTGAGCCGATATGCAGCATTGTTTGTAAGGGCAAAAAAAGAGAACCAGGCGAATGACTCAGAAGGAGGATGGTTAATAAATTATGGAACCATCACCATACACGGGCACAGAGACATTAAACAGGATGGATCAGAACTCCATCAGTGGACTCGAAGGGGACTTGCGCAAAACCACGAGAGGGGCCCGTGCAAGCGAGGAGCCCTGAGAAGTAAGCATCGTTGGCTCGCCAGTCAGTCGGCTTTGCTTTCTTCGGAACAGTGATACTCACAGTCAGGGAGTTTTATCGAGACCGCGACGGCCAAAAACTATCATCACGGTTTTTAAAAGTCTTAACCTACTTTCAAGGAACATCTGAACACATCCTCACAGAAGTTCACTAAAACTGCGACTGACATCAACACAAGGCCCAGAGAATATAAGTTAAAACCCCACCTTAGCGAAGGCGTCCCTGCCGTAGCTAGCTTCCTGTTCTGTGTGCTGCTTGTCGATGATGTCGCGCCCTGTAGCCACGGTCCGGTAAAGAAGGGCTTTCTCAACCATGTCCGTCTTGGTGGAGAGCAATTCTGCTATAATGGATACAACTTGGCCATTTTCAATAAGAGGTGTGTCACCATCCACTACAAATTTTAAATTTCCCTATACCAAAAGTGAAAAAACAAGACACACCATTTCCAATGAGAATCTGAAACATTATGCCAGGGATTATTTGCCAATTTAAGATATAATTCAAAGTGACTTTGTAGCAACTATTTTCCTAAATATATTACATATCTCAACATATAAAAAAATCTAGTGTTCCATCCATTTTTCCCTCTTCTCCAGATACTTATCTATCTTTAATTTTCAGTTTCTATTTTTGATGGGTAGAAGTTTTATATTTTTATGCAGTTAAATCTACAAATCTTCTGCTTATGAATTTTTCTTTGGTGTCATACTTAAACCATTTGTATTCCAAAGATTTTGTGGACATTTAATATTTTCTTCTAATACTTGTACAGTTTTTTCATACATTTAAGCTTTTAATCCACCTAGAATTTATGTTTGTATGAGGTGTAAAGTAAGAATCTAACTTTATTTTTTCTGATGGTTAGTTGCTCCAGTACCATTTATTGAATTGCTTAGCTTGTCCTCCATTTGAAATGTCACCTCTATAATATGAAATTCCCCCAAGTTTTTCAGTCTATTTATATTACACTCATTCAATAAGCAAACTAACCATCTACCAAGTGTCCAGCACATCATCTAATCTGTTGTTTAATCTGGTACTGAATTTTGCAATGAGTTTTAAGGTACTGTAGCTTTTACTGACATTTTAAATCTGGTAGAATTAGTCATGTCTCCTCTCCTCCCTTACCCCTACCCTAATAATACGTTCCTTTAATACATTTTATTTGATTATCCTACATGTTTATTGTTCCAGGTGAATTCTAGAATCATTATGTCAACTGTTTGGATTCTGAAGGATATTGTTATACTATATTTATGTATTTGCAAACTGGTTCAAAGGATGAGACAATTTATAAAATTAAAGTTTTCCTAGTCAGAAACATTTATTTAAAATGTCATTTGTATTGCTATATTTTTATATAGGGCTTACATATCTCTGATTCACTTAGAGTTAAACTTTACTGCATTAAAGTGCAAGGTAATTTTTATTCCAGATTTGAATTTATGTTATTATTTACTTATCATAAGGTTACATGTTCATTATATTGTAAACATCTCTAATTATATAAACAGTAATGAAAGATATTTTACACATGGTTCTTTACTTCTTCTGAGTTTGGTGTGGTTTAGTGGAAGATAACTGAACCATAAAGTCGGCCAACTTGGCTTATTGTATTGGCTGCCATGAACTGGCTGGCTGTGTCTTTGAGCCAGTCATAACACCTCTTTAAGGGCTCATTTCTCAATTTGTCAGAAGAGACAATCAAAATTCCAGTTCTAATAATCTATGATTCCAATGTTTCAAATGCTATTAGAAATTTTTTTGGTCAAAAAATTTTAGTTGGTAGTCACATCATTACTGAATTCTTTTATCTTTGAAATTAATCAGTTCTAAGTCTGACATATCAGTAAGAAAATTCACTAAAGCCAGTCTCAAAACCTATCATGGCTTGAAAAATCCCTCATAATATTATAAAATTATAGAATTACTGATATAGTAATTTCTTCAAAATCTAAGAGAATTTTTTTTACATGAATTACTTTTTAAATTTACAGGGAAAAAACAAAATAGTCTGAAATGACGTCCTGTCTCCACAGGGAGGCAATGGATTCTCAGAGGCACCCTACTTACCAAGTGAAGAATAGTAGCCAAAATTTTATATACTGTCTGAATCTCCTCAGGTTTGAAGCCAATTACTTTCATGGCGTCGGCTACTACTTTGAATTCTGCAGCATCATTGATAGAAGACTAGGAATGAAAATGAAACATTTTAAGTTACAGACATTTCATATGAGCATTAAAATTCAATAATTATGAGACTAAGTTCAAGTTTAGCCAAGGTTTTGATGATTTTGTAGTAAGTCCAAAGAGAATAAAAATGAGTTCCAAGGCAGAAACATCATTCAGCACACACAATGCCCACTGCCATAACCCCAAATAAGCACGACATATTTTCTGGAACCTTCAGTAAGGGAGCAAGTCATGAGCTGGCTCAGAAAAGCTGATCGCCATTCTGTGATGAAGGAAGGAAACAGCATGCGTTGTGAGATCACAAAGGGAAATACTGACTGTAGGAGCCTCCAAGACACATGCCTGGCTACTACTGTTGCCTCTGGTTTTTTGTCCCACAGTTAGTCTTATACAGGCTGGAAACAACACTCCCTCTCTCGTATGGGGAGGCTTTTTATTTCACAGGTGAGAGAAAGTAAGCTCCCAAAGCAAAGCAACCTGCCTCAATCATTCAGCAATCTAATAAATAATCTGGGACTATAACTTCACTTATTCACAAACATTTAGTGCGTAAGACCTTCTAACCAGTTTCAGGGGGTTTGCTGTAGATGGAACATTTGTGTCCTCCTCAGAATTCATATGTTGATATCCTAACCCCAAAGGTGATATTAGGAGGTGGAGCCTTGTGAGGTCATGAGGGTGGAACCCCAGAGATCTCTCATCCTTTCTGCTCTGTGAGGGCACAGCAAGAAGGCACCATCTATAAACCAGGAAGTAGGCCTCACCAGACACCTCTAGGCACCTTAGTCTTGGACTTCCCAGCCTCCAGAACTCTGAGAAATCAACATTTATTGTGTATAAGTCACCAGTTCATGGTGTTTTTGTTGTAGCAGCCCAACTGAATTGTAAGACAAGGTTCAAAGATACTCACCTGCCTTGAGGAGCTATAGTGATTAGGTTGTAAATACAAGTGTGGCAATGAAAATTCACAACGAAGCAACAGTAACTGCCTATCTTAGAAGTTTTCCCAAAGCAGCAGCTCCAGAGGGCCTGACTGATCATTTCCTTGGTGACTTTCCTGCCTGCTGAGGAAGGGAACAGGAAGGAGTCCTCTCTGCCTGATGAGCACACGTTCCTCCAGTGTCCAAGACACAACCAGGCTAGTTACTAGTTCTTTAATCTTGGGCAAGACACTGAATCTCACTGAGTCTCAATTTCCTCATGGGTAAAATGGGCATAATAATATATCTCTTACAGGATTGTTATGAGAATTGAATGACAATTTATATAAAGCACTTCCTTAATTCTTGGCCTATAAAAGGCATTCGACAAGTATTGGATATTACTATTATTATAAGCTGCAAATGTGTTGAAATTGCAAAATTAGACAGAAAATCTAAATGTTCTACTGTGGGAAACTGTTGGCTGCTTACTCAACAGCCATTCCCCAAACCCCATTTCTTTCTTGCTGACAGAGCCTGATTCGTTCACATCTCTCCAAGCGCATGTGTCCTTCAGGACTGGTGCCCCCAGCCTCAGGAGGTAAATCTTCATTGCTCTAAACTAATCACAGTGATCTTATTTCTCTTACCAAGTGATTAGTAGTCAGCCATGGGTATGTGATGCCATTCTGGTTAATAAGACATGAGGTTTCCCTAACTTATAAAGGGACATAAGTCAGAAGCATATCCTCTGCCCGTGACTCCTGGTGCTGCTGGCATTTTGGGACCATGAGGAAAGTCAGCCTACGGAGACAAGCTAAATCCAGTGAGCATGGCAGAGTTGTAAGCTGGAGAAACAAACAACACCTGGGTTCCTAGCAACATCGTTAAGGAACTGTCTTAACCAACTCTGGAATTGCTCCATTGAGGGCTCCTTGTTATGCGAGATAATTAAGTTCCTTCCTGTTTTTGGAGACTTTTAATTGAGTCTTATCTTACCTGAAACCCCAAATATCTAAACTGTACATGATTTCTATAATTTAGGATAGTTAGGTACAATATTTTATAGTTATTGAAATCATTCAATTAATTTACATTTGTTAACATGGGAAGATAGTCATAATTATTAGAGGGTTCATTTAATCAGGATTTAGTGTATGATATCATTTATAAATATATACACATAAACCGTTATCAATAATTATCTCTAGATGGTAAGCTTTAGTGTATTTTGTTTCCTTTTGGTTAATCTCTATTTTAGATTTAGACTATGATCATGTAATGCTTCTTTTGTTTTTATTAGAGAAGAAGAAAAAGGGGGAAGGAATAAGAATGGAAAACTTTGACAAAAAGGGAAACTAAGCTATATTTAGCTTGTAGAGAAGGCTGTATGTTCATTTACTACTTGCTTTCTAGGGGGCCTCTACATGACCTGGCCAAAAGTAATTTGGTCAATAAGACAATTTGATAAAAAGGAATATTTCCAGTCGTTGGCTTTTTAAGTATTGATTTTATAACCATTTACACCTCTTTAGTACCTCCAGCTTATTCTCAGAAGGCTAGAGTGTTGCCCTCTAGTGTTTTGTTTGTTTTCAATTTATTTTCGGCCAACCCTCTTGCTCTCAGATGATTGTAAAAGTAAAAAAATGCAACTTAAATGTCAAACAATGGAAAATTAACTGTAAAACCCTAAATATAATGTATTCCTATGCATGGCAATAATAATACATGTAAACCAGTAATGCAGGTATAATTAGCTTAAGATGAACAATAAAAATTTAAAAATAAAAAGAACATCTTAGATCCTTTCCTTTTATAAATTCTTTTATTTTTCCCAACAACAGTATATTTTTAATTGCACAAGAAATTTAAAATATGGAAAATCAGAAGAACACAAATATCTGTAATGTCATCCATTTAAAATAAACAAAACTTTGGTCTTTTCCCTCTATGTCTTATTTTATGTATTTATATACAGTACCTTTCCCTCAACAAAATAAGATGATACTGTAATTACTGTTTTATAACCTACCATCAACAAACTACACTATTATTAGGATTAGCTGAAAAATGGCAGAAAACTAATTAGAAATAAAAGAGCAAAAAGTACCTGCATATGTGTGTGCAAGTGCTCACATGCAAGGGAAGGAAAAAAATGGAAAAATCTGAAAGCTGATCAAAATGCTCCAAGGGTCAGACAACTATTTATAGGATACATCAAAATCAATATCTCAAAAAACAGTGAATGGAGAACTTTGATAGTCATTTCAGCCAATATGCTTTCAAATTTTGTCTTAACAACTTGCCTTTGGCAAAATCATATGGTATCTTCTTTTGAGGCAGATTTCCCAGTCATATCAATATTTTATAGTATCAAAATAAAAGGAATAGGATTAAAAATTAGAAGAAACCTCAAGATCATAAGAACTTCTTTCCTGTTGGATGGTGATAAAACATAGTAATGGGTTATTAAGCAAAGTTGTTGAGTCAACGATGTATTGAATCTCTGTCCTTGAGAATTTTAATAATAGAATAAAAGAGTCATTCATTTGCCCAAAGGCAATAGGCTTTTATTTTAGCTAATTATTTAATGTTCCCTCTGATTTTCTGTCTGATTCTATAGCTGAGCAATCTCAAAGAGGAAACTCTCACCTTTAATTGAGCTCCTACATGGATATAGTTGTAGGATGAAAGGGATTTCTGGAGATGAAGAGAACGAAGTGTCTGTTCTGAACCTCCTTGGAGTAGCTGAAAAATAATTTAAAATAAATTGGCAAAATACATACCGAACCAAATATACCACATAGTCTAACAAAGGCAACCTAGCTTTTATTCATTTTCTGGGCTTAATTCACTTAGATCCTCTTGTTTCTGGTTTTAAAGATTTTTTTTTTTTTTTTTACCTTTAAGGCAAATGGCTTCTTTCAGAAGTTATCAGTCATGGAGAATGTTATACAACCACGAAAAAAGTTGCTTAAAAAGTCTTAGGGCTTTCACAACATAGCTGGTATAAAAAGTTCTTGCTTTTACTATGGTTGTTTGTAAAATAGGAAGCTCTTCTCTCTGCTAGTCACCTGCTTAGAAGCCTTATTATCCAGACAGGATAGAATAGTGTTTCCGAATTCAGAAAAAGTCAATACTGTCACAGAAGTAAGAGGTATCAGCAGACAGTCATATGCCAAGTCACACTGGAAAAAAATAGCTATGGCTTTTCCTCGTCAATCTCTGTATCTCAGAAGAGGACAACTGGATAACCATAACTGTAGTGTCAGACAAAGAAATTTTAACACTTTCCTTCATGTGGGACAAACAGTGGAAAAAGGTTATGGGTTCTTGGAAATAAACAGAACTCTTTTATATTTGGTACAAAGTAGTTTATTGAAAACATGGTAAACTATCAACAAAAACATAATACAGGTAGCCCTTTTATATAACTTTCCTTTTGGAAAGCATTATGTTTAAATTCTCTATATTAAACTGTATGCTTTGCTTTACTTAAAAGGTGTAATGATCAGATTTTAAAAACTGATCTTTTAAACAAAACAGACCAGAACTTATATACACAAAGGAGTACTGTCTATTAAAGCAGTTCCCTATGGAAGAAACTGAGCTTGGTTGAATTGTTTTCAATTAGTATTGTCATGTTTCAATCACGTTCAGAGATAGTTTACATGTGAAAATCAATCTTGATTTGTAGTTTTATTTTATAAAAATACAAGACAGTATTGCTTAATTTGCTCACTCACTTTTTTTAGTACTGGTTTATGTTATATTGGGCCTTAAAAACATCATAATAATGTATCAAACTTGTTCCCTGAGTAAAAAGACTTGCCAACAGGAGGGCTATTTTAAAAGATTTGTCTTAGTCTCTAAAAGCATTCCCCAAAAAAGTGTTCGAAAATTTTTTTCTAAGCAAGCACAGCTTTGATGAGATAAGGAAGACAATTCTCTTGAATTCATAAAGACGGTTATTTTTTTAAACTAATCATATTGCTTTATAACCTCCATGAACAAAATAAACTGAGTTTGCATTCTCATCTCTGGAAATCCCAAATAAGGAAACAACAGCCTCAATTCAAAATAAAATAAAATTAATTCAACGCATTCAGGATTTCCTATTTCAAAAACTTTTATACATCATTAAACTGTTATCTACACCACAAAAAAATGTGATGCTCAACCAAGGCAGTCATCTGGTTGGTTGACCACCTGCCAGCTCTTTCTAATAGTTGTGCTCGTCAAATCTCTGAAGAAGCACGTGGGGGTAGAATGTGTGTGTGTGTGCATACATGTGTACCGTGTCATGGGCCAATGGAAGCAAGGGAGGCACAGGACAGGGGAGAGCCTCAATATAAAAACATTCATTTCCTGTACAACTGAACAAATGATCAATTATCTGCCTAACAGCAGATTACTAACCTGATAGAAAGAATGAAAGCTTCTTTCTCCTGGCTGTTGCATAATCACTCGAGACTAAGAAAAAACACATTAAAAATTTGAATCTGAGAATGCACCTCTAAAACAAAACAGAAGCTACTTTCTCAGTGAATCCTGTTATCGACAGTGCACTTAAATGTCTAAAGACCCCATGGATAGTACCCACCTAAAATTAGGTTTCCTCTATACAATTTTCTGTGCAATTTATTTTGGTAATACTTTTTACTGCTTAAAACAGAGTTCTCTAAAATTTCCGAAAATAAAGCTATTTTGATTTTTTTTAACCTTGATCTTAAAAGGAGAATATTTTAGTGGGGAAGAAATTGGAAGAGGGGAGAATAGGGAGGAATAGTTTCAACATTCCCTTCCCCAGCGTTTGCTGGCATTTCAAAGAGCAATGCCTTATAGCCCTTAATAAAATCAGTTGGGCCAGATCAGTCTATTGAGACCCCTGCCTTAGATACTTCCCAAAAAACTGCTATTAAGAGATTGCTGCTGTGAAAATGTACATCCATTCACAGGGATCCTTTTGATTGAATATGCACGTAAAGTGAAACCATGAAACATTTTGGAAAAAAGACCGATAATACCTGGCATTTCCTATCCTTTTTTTAGCTGACTGATTAAAAACATTATCTCCTTAACAGTCTGACTCCAATTTAACAAAGAAAAATAGATTACACTACATCACATCATCATAAAGGATGCTGTAAATAGAAACTAAAAAAATTGAGATTTCAAATTATTTTAAATAAAATACATGGGAGTATCATATCAATGTTATACACCGTAAATTTACACAATGTTATATGTCAATTAAATCTCAATTTAAAAAAAGACTTGTATGGGCGTGATTGTTTGAAAAGAGTATTATTTCAGGGAATGTACAGGATAGCTCTTCTTCGTGCATAAAAAAAAAAATATGGGAGGTAATGATGTGTAAAAAGGGTGGAACCGATTAGTCCTAGATTGGTTTTTGGTTAAACCTTACCCAGAAGCTGGCACATATTCACATATCACTCCCACTTCCCCCAACACATATACTTATTCTTTATCTTAAAAGTCCACAGCTTTTTACAACTTGATATTGTGTTAATAAGAGAATACAAAAGAAGACCATCTTATCATAGAAAGCTAACTGAGGAGCAGGAAGGGAGGGAGAATAGGATTTAAAACTACTCTGAAGCAATTAAAGAAATTCTATAAACATAATTAGGTTTATAAAAAAAACACTAAGCGCTTGTTACATTACCCTCAGAAATCAAGCACATTTACCTTCTCCAATAAGTAGTTATTGATATGTCCACCAATAGGGTCCCCCTTGAAATCAAAGTTGATATCCATGTATTTTCCAAACCTGCTGGAGTTGTCATTACGGTTGGTTTTGGCATTGCCAAAAGCTTCCAGGACACAGTTGGATTTAAGCAACATATTCTTCACTCTTGAACACAGATAAATGAAAGTTATTACAAAAAGTTTTAAAGGATGGGCCTTTTAAAAAAAAGTAGATTTCATTAAAAGATATGCAAATATTTATGCAAAGATGCTGACTGCAGCACTGTTTGCAATTAAAACAAAACAAAACAAAACAAAACACAAAAGGCAACCTAAATGTCCACTAATGGGGATGGAGAAAAATAAATTTGTTTCCAGTATAATACATACTGACATAGAAAGATATCCAGAATATATTAAAAAGTGAGAAATTAAGCTGCAAAATAATATGTATGCAGGATCTGTGTGTGTGTGTGTGCATGTGCTCACGTGTGAGTGAATATACTCATGCACAGTATGTTAGTAAATGCTTAAAATATCTGGAGGGAATAGCACACTTCATTATGGTTACCTAGCTTGGAGGCGTAGGTAGGGTGGAATTTCAGGGAACTTTCACCAACGCAATGCTATAATTTTTCAGTTTTTCTTTTAAATGAACATATTTTATTTACATAAAGAAAAATCTTAAAAAGAGATGTTCTGAAAAAAAGAATGGGTGATACAGAAAATGATACAATTTTTTAAAATACTTGCTTATAAAGCCTAGAACTGTAAAACTGATTCCACTTAGTTATACATTATAAATATGGTCTTTATTAGAAGTTGCTTATCATTTTATTTGAAGTTGCATGGAATCTCTTCTTTGTACCAGTTATTTAATTCACTCTTTATTCAATGATTGCTATCTTTTTATAGAGCAGTCTCTTTCAATGGATGCATTTTAACTTCGTCCTGCTCTTTAGGTCTTTGTTTTGATTTCACTGACAAAATTCCTCTTATATGGGCATACCTGCAGAAATACCTTTGGCCACTAAGATAAACTGATATAGCAGATCAACTGTTCCTTCCACTACTACTGTAAGTGACCCTACAAACTTATCTCCTCCTGAATGAAAATATACTTTTAAAATGTGGGAAAAAACTGTTTGCTTATGATAAATAAACTGCCTCTAAAACTATGGTAAGATATGCTTGTGAAAGGCTGATTAATGCTCATATGCCTTATTTCACCACACCACCTGGGTTTAGAAATAAAATTAATTTACTTCTTAGACAGTTACTATCCTGAGCTCCTAAGGAAATTAAGAATACTTACTCATATCTTTGTCTTTATTAGTTGCAAAGTCAAAATCAGAAGTGGGGATGTGTCAAAATTAAGAAAAATACCTCTTTGACCTGATCATTCAGCCCAATTAGGATGTAAAGAAGAAAGCCCATGGTTAGTATAGTCTAAAGTCTCTTCTCTCTCATCAACCCAGCATCTTTTCTTTCTATTCATAAAACTGAAGATTGAGATGTGTACATGGAGCGTCACTCTTCAGTAAATGAGCACTGAACTTCAAAGTAACACTCTGGAAAATCAATTTTTTTTCTCTTCAAAAAGTCCACACTACATAAGGAAGTTGAATCACGTTGCTTTATAGCCACATTTCTTTATTTTTAAAAAACCCATCCATTCATTACTTACACATTTATTAAGCAAATACTATGTGTCCGATACTGTGCTAAACGCTGGGCCTCAGACAGAGCACACGAGCCTCATTACGCATCTTACTGTGAGCAGCAGCCTGTTGCGGCTGAAACTCTTTTAGAAAAAAATCACATTTAGAACTTCTAATTTCAGGAGTTCCAGTTGTAATAATGGTGCGGAGGCATGGATCTGCCTCCCAGAGCCGCCTTTCACTCTAGAGAACTGAGGGCTCCTCAGAACACAGTTTTAAAAGATGCTGGTGTAACAGAAAGAGCGAAGAACCTGTGAGAGCTCGAACCATAAAAGCTACCAGTGTAAACTATAACATCTTTGCTGACCACATACATTTAAGGCAACAGTTATAAACAAGAATGGGGACACTTTCCTCTGTTTTGTTTTTTCCTCTCAATAATTTTGTTCTGTTTTATAATTTGATAAAGCTTACCAAAGTAGAAAGCTTTTTTTCAATTAAAAGCAAATACAGAAATAGAGTGATATAAATAAAAGTAGAGTATGCAATAAGAGAATCAAAGTAGTTTATCATCAATGAATGGTTGATACATATCAGAGGTTAAGCCTGGTCAATTCTATATAGGAAATAAAGCTCTAAGTAGAATTTCCCCCCCCATTATTAGATTGCCCTTACCTTTCAATCTCTGCTCTCTGACTGGGGTTGGTGATGGCCGCAATGTACTGCATAATGTACTTACTGGCTTCGGTTTTACCAGCTCCACTTTCCCCTGGGGGAAAAATTGTGCAAGGCTTAACATTATAACTTACACCAAAAGTTGGCTAATTTTTAATGGAATAATTTAAAATTGTGATGTCAGTTATTTATTTAAAATCCCTTATGTTTCACAGTTTGCTTTTTTGAGTTATTTCACCGTCTTGATATGGTATTGGTGCTACCAGATCTGAACACAAGTTGAAAAAACTAAAACTAATGTACAAGTAAAATAACAAATAGATTACAAATCAAAATTAATCTAGTAAGAAATATCAAGAGATAAAATGTGATAAACTAATTCCTTTAAGTCTTTGTACTTGGCAATGACTCTTAAATCTAGCAGAAAAGAAATAATCTAGTGAGTAAAACAGTGGCCACAATATAATCTTATTTTCTATAGAATTTCTTTTAATTTTAACAGGGTCAAAATAAGTCTTTCAGAAAATGAAAGTCAGAGTAATTCTGGTGAAAACTAAAGTATGCAATAAGCGCAAGACACATGGTGTAACAGAAAATGACAACTGGTATAAGGGGGGAAGAAGAGATCAATTTAGAATTATCTACCTAAACTTTTAAGTTTATGTCTTTTGACCCCAAAACTCCACTTGTAGAAATTTATATTATGGAAATACAAATGTCAATAAAATAATCATCATCATCAAAGGTTTTAAGAGTTTTTCTGTAGACTGTGTGTCATAGTTAAACCCTGAAAGTAAAATGCCTTTCAGTAGAGGACTGGGTAAATACATTATGATTCAACTATTTAATGGAATACTACATAATTAAATACTATAGAAATAAGTATTGTAATGAAAAGATGTCCATTATAATGTCAAACGGAAAAACAAATTATGTAATAGCAGTTATAACTCCACAATATAATTATACTTATAATTATATATGCACGTGTGACGATATGTATTTGCCCACGCAGAGAAAATCGATAAAAGGATAAACACTATCGTTCACAGCTGTTAATGCTGGAATTCTGGGGGAACAAGGTATTCAAGGGGAAGGGACTTTGTCTTTTTACTTTATAGTCTTATACAATTGTTTTCTTTGTTCTCCGTTTCACGATCAGGCAACTTCTTTTCATAATTTGTTTTTATGAAATGTAGTCCTAGGATATAATTCTCTAACTTCAACATTAAGTTGAACTCAACTCTTCTGATAAAGTAGAAACAGAACTGCTGTACTTACCACTCAGAGTTGTCTTGATAACCAAAATGGAATAAAAATCCTAAAAGTGTTTTTGAAAGTATAAAGCCACGAATGCAAATGTGAGAATTATTAGTACCGAAAGAAGTTTCCACAGTTTGGGAGAAGCCATCCTGGGTCAGAGGACAGATATTTTTCCTGGCTCATTTCACTACACAAGATTCCTTGAAGAGTGCAGCTTTAAGAAGAGCGTTCAGCTCCACTTCTTGGGCACTTTGGGTCTGTCTCCCTCCTCGTCAGGCACCCTCAGTACTAGTTCTAGCCCCCATGCCAGTATGTCCCTAGACACTGGCTCCCATTTTCTGTATGTCAGGATTTCATTGTCTCAGTTTCATTCTGTTATTATTTAAAATAATTTTTGTTACATTTTATCCAAGAGGGAAGGAAAGATTTTCCATGTCACCTCAGTCTACAAAATTGACCAGAAGTCCATCCAGATTCAACATGGATTTGTAAATGAACCAAGACTAGAGGATGGTCAGAAATGATCTAAATAAATAATTGGATATTTAAAGTTCATTACATTTTTTTTCTCCTAAAAATTGCAAAAGTTTCTAACTTCAAAAAAGATTGAATCAATCATCTGGATCCTTGAGTACCTAATAAGTTAAATACATTTTTGCCTTGAGTACAGACAGGGGATCCCCTCTAAATACCTGATATCACAATACATGTGTCCTTCGATCGCCTCTTCATAGCCTTGTAAGCAGCATCGGCAATAGCAAAAAGATGAGGCGGTCTCTCATACAGCTCACGTCCTTTATACTGCTCAATGGTCTCTCTCCCATAGATGTTCAGCGACTTGTAAGGATTCACAGAAACGACGACTTCTCCGATGAATGTGTAGATGCGCCCCTTTTCAAATCTGTACAGAAGCAAAAGAAAAGGAAGAAGTAGCTGTGGTTATTCAGAAATGCTGTTCCTTTCCTATGAGTCTCCAAAAAAAGTAAATATCCCAGGAACAATTTCTGAACTGACATTTCATTGATTACGAGTTTACTTTTACTACATTTGAAGCTGTGCTGAGATGCTGTTGCTAGAAAGGGCCAATTGGGGTTAACAGCCAAGAAAGAAGAAAGAATTTAGTTTTTTAGAGGCTGGGGATTTCCTATATCCAAAATATAGAAAGGTAAGAAGATGAAAAAAAAAAAGTTGAAGACAACCTAGAAGCTCTGGGAAGAAAATAAATAGTAGTTAAAACAGGTCTTGAAATCTAGTTAGCCAGATTTTCAATTACACAGAAAACTATCTAAATACATTTATTTCTTTTCCCTCTTGGAACCTCAGCAAAATGTCAGCAAATAAAAACAATGAACTCCATAACAGAGAGAACGGTAGAGGAGGCACTTCTGGCATAAGTTACATTCATTTTTAGAAGGACGCCTAAAATTCTGTGGTGTAGATATATCATTAATTATTTAACTATCCCACTTCCTTCCTGCTATTTTGAATAATACTGTAAAATATTCTTGACACATAATCTTAGAAACTAGTGCTTTCATTTCAATGGGACAGATTCTCAGGAATGGGATAGGTGGCTGAAAGGTAGAAATATTTTTTAAGTATTCAAGAATATGATCTCACCTTTTTACCATTAAAGGCTAAAAGGTCACCCCATGTATGATTTGTATATACAACTGTACAGAGATATATTTTATAAATGATTACATAAGCATGGGAAAATATGGAAGACTACATGTTATGTTTTATGTATCATTTTGTACATACAATAGAGTGAGGAGGAGAAAGGCCATGTGAGCCATTGGAATAAAGTCATAGGAACAAAGAAAAAAAAGAATTAAAAAAAAAACTCCCCAGCATATGTGATATAACTGCAACTGCACAAAATTATCTATATTTACAAAGAAAAAAAAATTTAATTTAGAAAACCCATATATAGTTACTATTTACACATTAACTCATGTACATAAACATGTGAACCAGAGCTAGGCCAACACCTAAATGGACAAGCGGTTGCCACCACCACACTCCAAATGCCGAGAAAAAGGCAGACATACAGGTCACTTCCAAGAGCTGAATGAACAGTGTCGAGATGGGCAAAATGCTGCTCCAAGAACAGCAGCCACCTCTAAACCCTTTTGTTGCAGGGCCAGTGAAGCAGGGAAATAACTAAGCATTTGGAACCACAAGGCAAAAAAGAACCTTAACTTCCTTCACACTGGCATGAAGGCTGTGGGCTATCATTATGAGTGGAAACAAACAGATATTGATAATGTCAACCATAAATTAAAAACCAAGATTTCTGTCAAGTAGTTGGTGTATATTTAAATAAGAGTTATTAACTACTTTAAGGTTTTAAGGTTTAAGAAAATTAACCATTTTTCTGCTATGGTTTTCCTATGCATCTTCCTGTTGTTAAGACAGAAAGTTTATATGGTAGTTAAAAGTACTGACTTTTAGTCCTTTACATATGGTTCTAAATGCTCACATTGTAAACGTAATAGCAGTGAGACCTTATGAAAGCTACTTAACCTCCATGTGTTTCAGCTTCTTCTTCTCCCCCAGGCATTGTGCAAGCACTTTTAAAAAGAGGCAGTTAATTTTATGCTTCCAGTTATGTTCTGCAGGAAGGAGATTTTTAATAAATGTTTTATTTTATTAACATTGCTACTTAAGTCACAGCAATCCCTACGCATGAGTAATTAATTCAATGATCACAATCCAATTCCCTGCTTCAGATGTCAATCAACTAGCAACTAATCACAAGCAAAATATCTACATAACTCATTTTAAAGACCCACAAAAATAATAAAAAGCTAAGGTTCACTACCCCAAGCCTTTCTGCTTAACCTGCAAATTTGCATGACGTGCTCAACATGCTTCAAGGATACGAATGAAAAGAATACGGTGCTTTAATTTTAAAAACATTGTCCAAATAAGAAAAAAAAAAGGATGTTAGAAAAAAAATTACCTCATAAATCTGGAACTCCGTGACTAAGAGGGACAGCAAATAACATATGAGATAAGAATGTTGTTCTAAGACTCCAGGTCTATTTAATCAGGTACTTTCTCCAAAATTCCATTTTATTTCAAATAGAATATTTTGTTTACCAAAACTTCTGGGAATCGAGTTTGTAAAACACAATTAAAATACATGCAAAAAATTATCAAATGTATAACTATTAACAGTTCAACAAATATGATATTAAACACAATGCTTTGGCAATTTATGAAACATCAGAAGCTTATCTAACTTGAAACTCAGGTTATCAAAGATGAAATTTTTAATTTTGTTAGGGCTTAAAATTACCACTAGATGGTGTCAGTATACACTTTAACACCAATCCAAGATTTCAATTAGCTTTGGAAAGCCTTATGGTATGAAGTAAGCACTGAGGTAATGCAGTCACCTGCTTGCTTTGCCTCCAGGAAGAATTGCTGTAATTATCCTAGATGACAAATGGGATGATAACATCTCTCACCAGAGACCAAGGAAGGCATTTCTATGACCTCTATGTGTAACTCTTTTAGGACAAACTTTTATGATGCATTCTTCACATATTTGTTCAATATCTACTTTGTGCCAGACACTAAGCCTGACTCTGGGAATTAAAAGAATGAAGAACAGGAAGTGTTGTAAATGAATAATAACGTAGTATGATAGATTAAATAATAAGAATGTGCACTGTGGTGACAAAGATGATCACAATAAGCCCCTTTCAATGAAGAACCCTAAAGAGTAATAACACAAACTCCACAGTAGATACACAAGGTCTTTTGTGTCCTGGCTTCCACTTTTCTCTTCACCTGACTCTCCTAACTAACTACTCACACTTCCACCCATTAGCACCTCCCATCCCCTCGGCCACTCTTGCCTTCACATTAAGGAGCTATTTACAGTTCCTAAGAGCACCACGACATCACAGTTTTCCATGGGGTTCATTCTGCTAGAAAACTTGTGCCTTGCCCTGTCTCTTCTTCCCCTGTCTGTTTGGCAGGTTCTCACTCCTTTAAAAGCCTAAGCAACATCTTCTCTAGGAAACTCTTCTGAATACCTCATCTCTAGCATCAGTATTATGGTATTTGCGTGGTTCAGATATTTTCTTTAGAACTTCCCAAATAGTTAAAAATGGCTTAACAGTAATTGATTTTTAAAATGTAATTTCTTTAAGAAGATAAAAAATATTTATCGAATGGGCCAGATATTTTCACTGGCTTCTGAATGAAAACAAAGAGGTTCTAATAAATTTTTGAATTAATAAGTAGCAATGAAGAAAATGTAAAAAATGCTTTTGGAAGACACCAGTCTTTTGTATCAGAATTTGGAAACATTAAAAAAACAACCAATGACTCTATTTTCGGTAGTAAAGAGAGCACCGATAGACCTGGCAACAGAGAAACACAAAATGTTTGCCCTGGATACTCCTAACTGACCTCTTATATGAAGTAAGGAGCGGGGTTACTTGACTGTGTGTATGATACTTTAGAACATTTTTGGAAAACTAACAAATACATGAGGTTGGTTGGTGGCTCCTAATGTTGCTCGACAGAGTGGTGAATGTAATGGATGAGCTTAGGGATTCAAATTCCCATCTCAGGTGCCACAAAATGACCTGAAAACTTCTGCATGTGCCCTGAAGGAGAGAGCCTCATCTCCTGTAGTCCAAGGATGAGAACTCTGGCAAGTATAGTGCTCCTGATAAGAGGCAGTGAGAACTACACAACAATCACTTATGTGGTGTCTATCAAAATCATATAACCTGAATCTAATCAGGAGGAAACATAAGACAACCTACACTGAAGGACGTTCTACAAAATCACTGGAAAATCTCACAGACAAAACAGAGAAAGACTGAATAATATTCCAGATTATTTTATTTATGTCCAAATCAAAGAAGCATAACAACTAAATGCAAGGCACGCTCCAAGGAAATTTCTTGTAGTATTCTTGCAATTATTCTGTAAATTTGAAATTATATCAAAATTAAAAGTTGCTAACAAAAAAAATCCAACTTCTAAGCTTCTTTACATAGTTGGCTTAAATTTTTATTAATTTTGGATAGGCAATACAGACTCAGTAATAGATTCAAAAGCTATAAACGAATAGATAGTGACAAGTGTTTCTCTTATCTTTCCCACAACTTCCTTTATCAGAGATAACCACTGCTACTAGTTTCCTGTGAATTCTTCTAAAAATAGTTTATGCACACACACACCCACACACGTACATAAGGACAGTTTTTCACATGAATGACTTCTTTTCTCTCATTAAAATACAGATCTTGGGATAGTTTCATGTAAGTAAACAGAGAATAGCCTCATTTTTTATGCCTGCATAGTATTTAATTTCAAGGATGAATTCACAATAATACAATCAGTCCTTATTGGATGGACATTTAGGCTGTTATCAATGTTTTGTTACTATAAACAATGAAACTAAAAATGTAATGGTATATATTTCTTTGTGCCTAAGTGTACATATACCGGTGGAATACATTTCTAGAATTAATGTTGCTGTTTCAAAGGATATATGTAATTTAAACTTATGAATTATTGCCAAATTATTCTCCAAAATGGTTGCCACAATTTATACTTCCGCCTACACTGTACGAGAGTTTCTGGGAGTGGGTTTTTAACCAACAATGCTGGCCCATTTTTGAAGGAACAGTCTATATTGCAGTTTTACTTTCAAAGTACACATAACTTTCTTTACTGATGCACCCAATTTTTGCAATGTTCATTAGTTTACTGCCAACTTTCAGTAAGGTTCAGTTTACCTTCCCCAGTTCTTAGACGAGAATCTCTTCCAAGGGTGAAGGCATCTTGTTTCTGTTGCTTCTGGCAAAATCATAGTCTCCCGGTGATGGTGTCAATTTGCTTTACCCCTTTCGTTAGACTGTACGTTCCTGAGATGGGCAGGGGACTATGTGTTAGAAAGATTATGAGCTTTAGAATCACACAGCCCTGGAGCCCTGGGTTTGAATCCTAGCTCTGCTAGTTACTGATTGTATGTATTCATAAACATCTGAGTAATGAATAAATGCCATGTGCTGGGCACTGTGCCAAGAGCCCGAGTTACAGAGAAGAGTAAGACATGGTATTATTGTATTCAAAGGTTTACATAAATAGACAATGCCATAGAGTTTAAATTTCACATATTTTATGAGAGGGTTTAAAATTTACATATTTTTCATTTATCATTCCTCTCTTACTCCCATTCTCTTTCCTCTCTCTCTCTCTCTCTCTCTCTCTCACACACACACACACACACACACACACACACTATTATACTATTTCAGAAAAGGTTTAAAGCAATAACAAAGATAGAAAGGATGCTGTGAAAGCTTAGAGAAAGGATACCTAACCCAGCTTTACAACTGGGAGAGTTCAAAGACATCCTAAAAATTAAGTTAGTTGACATCTGAACTATATGTGATTATACATTTTCCAGATAGGTAGCTCTGGGTACCTCTTGGCTTAAGAATATCTGGAAGAGGATACTTTATTTTGCCTTATTAACATGCAGAAGCCTTGGACGAGAACACTTGAGACGCACCAATACAGCCCACCAGGGCAGCATATGGGTATCCCTGGGTCCTCCACAGCAGAGGAAAGGGTGCCTTAAGAAAGTGTGCCCTGTAACCTGACTGAAGTTTAGCACTAGGTATCTCTATGATTATGTGTAAGTTATTTAACCTCTCTGTGCCCACTTCCTTCATCTGAAAAGTAGGTCAATACTAGTATCTAACTCGCAGGATCATTATAAGAAATAAGATACTCCACTCATTAGAACACTCGGCACACTACTGGCACATGGTAAGAGTACAATAGTACAAAGTTCTATTTTTATTATGAGCAATACTGCAAGCTGTCTGACTGGCAGGAAACGTCTTTCCTCCACTCAGGTCCATTGTCCAGTGCACTGCATCTGTGTTGTGTTGTGTTTATCCTCGCAGCAAGGGTCACTTTTGTTAGTGTAATGAATCATGATCCACTTGGCATCATGTCCAGAAAGCATTCTTCTAGTAGTTCATAAGGATCCTCTAAAGCCAAAAATCTCTCCATAAAAACGTTTAGGCTTTCATAGGACATAAGAAACTAGTTAGGGCCACTGGCAGTGGTTTTATTGACTTCCTGAGTTCATCTCTCATTTTTATTTTTTTTCTCCAGAGCAACATCTTTCCACGTGAACAGCACAAAAGGTACTTAACCAGAAAGTGTGGTCAAGAGATGCCTGACTGAATTTATTTTACCTGCCGCCCACCCTCCTCCCCCGGATTTTTTTATTTTTGTAATAGAAAAATTTACTTTTGATAAATACATTTTAAGGTAATGACTGCTTTTTCAAAACACATTTCTATTATTTAGTAAGGCATGCCTTGTAGAAAAGCATTAACTTTAAATGTTCTTACTGCTGTCTTTAATTTTATTTGCATTCATTTGTTCATTCATTCAATAAATAGTTAGTAGGGCCCAAGTTCCAAGCCCTGTGTTGGGATCCATGGGTAGAGGACTGAACAGGCAGAGTGTTCCCCAACCTAATGCGGAGTAACGAGAAGGACAGACACTCGGCAGGGGCTCCAGGAAGAGGCAACAGAATGTGCACTGCACTGGTAGAGGGAGGGAACAAGTATTTGAGGAATCTAAAGCAGAACAATGACTGCACCACGGCCGGACAGCAAGGAGAGAGGGACAGAAAGAGAGAGGCTAGAATGTGCAAAGGGCCTTGCAGGGGTTTTGGACTTTATTTCAAGGGCAGAGTTTTTAAGTATTGATCCCATTTGCTTTTTGCAAGCCCCCTCTGACTGCAGGGTGGAAAGGATTGAGTGTCTGGTGACAGAGCAGTTGAGGAAGCTACCATGTTAGTTCCAGGAAGGGGTGACTGGGGCTTTGGTTGGGATGGAGCAGTGGACAGGCTTTAAGAGTAGAAGCAGAATTATTAGAGAGACAACTTACTGGATGTGAAAGGTGAGAAAGAGGGAGGTATTAAGGTTTCCCACATGAACAATGGAGCAGACCACAAAGCTGTTTATTAATGAGAACAGGGACAGCAGAGGAAGAGCGAACTTTTAGGAGGCAGCCATGATTCATACAGGCTGTGCTGAGTCTGAGATACCTGAGAGATAGTTAAGAAAAGATGTCTCTCACTTTTCTTTCTCTCACAATCTAATTAAACATGTTTCCTGGACATGAAGAGAAAAACACAGAGAGGGCAACCAGAACAAATGCTGCAAGGGGACCACGTGCTCCTCTGACCAATTGAAAAGCAAGAACAAGATTTTAAAGAGGAGATATCAGGGTTCTATTTAAAAAATTTTTTACCAACTGAATTTGATCATGTTAAGTTATTCAGTGAATTCTACCTTTTCGGTATAAGGTGACAGTAGAAACAAACACAACACTTTGCCTGCATAAATGCTATCTGATAAATGTTCCAGGCAAATTGGTTAAAAAATATATATCCATACAATGGATAGCTCTCAGTATACTGAATAAATCTCTTGACTGTGAAAGATATTTTTATCAATTACTACAACTCATTTACTTGACAAAAGAGAAACAGAACATTTTATAGTACATGACAGTGAAAACAAGATAAGTCTCAAGGATATAAAAAATATTTGTCAAAGATGGCATAGCAAATCATGCTCACAGAGACAGCAGCTGAGTTGACATCTGTAAATAGATTGCTTTTCAGTTTTTGTTGTTTTGTCTGCTGAGGTGTCTGAAAAGGGTTCAAATTTCAAGTCACTGTGAGGAGAAGGATATTGTCAGTCTGTCACTTTACAATAGATGAATCTCTACTACTGCTGGTATCAGGACACTTCCATGCTAGGTACAGAGTTGCTGTTAGGTTAGAGCACCTGTAACTTCAACACAGTGTGGAAAATGAATCCTGAAATGCTTCTGTTTTGATCTTGCAAGGAAAGTTGTCCTTTTCATGAGACTATGAAAGGTTTATAAGCTTACCAAATCCATACTATGGAACGCAAATTGTTTTGGCCATCATTTGCCACCCTATAGCTTTTAAATAGTATTTAGTTATTTAACTGACTATCAATTTTGCTAAAATCCTAATAGAGGAAATACAGAGATTGGTGAACTGGACACAGTTAAATCAATGTGACTTTAAGAGTCCTTAGAAACTAAAGACTCTCAGACCAGTAGACGGATGTTTAAATATTCACATGCAAATTAAAATTAGTAACAAACAAACCACAATGAAGATATTATATATTTTGTAATGTCAGCAGCATATGAATAAGTCACAATAGCATTATTTATTGATGAAATGCCGAATGCCTAAAATTGACAGGCATGATGATCTGGACCAAAACATAAGAATGAAACTTTCCTATTAATAACATGACACTATATTTTCTCTTCCAATGAACAATAATTTCTCTGACATAGGGCTCAACTCACATATTTATTTCTTTGTACCCATTTCATTTAAAACTAATTTCCTATTAATTACAGTAACCACTGGCTAGTTGGCATCCCCCGGAAAGTAGTTAACTGCATTTTGCCCTGACATAGGGCTCAACTCACATATTTATTTCTTTGTATCCATTTCATTTAAAAATAATTTCCTATTAATTACAGTAACCAATAGCATTATTTATTGATGAAATGCCGAATGCCTAAAATTGACAGGCATGATGATCTGGACCAAAACATAAGAATGAAACTTTCCTATTAATAGTTGGCATTCCCTGGAAAGTAGTTAACTGCATTTTGCCCGAAACAAGGAGTTAGCTTATTTATAAATCAACACTGCTCAAGAGGATGCAGGATACCTACACCTGAGTCAGAAAACCTTTTGATAGGACTGCACAATTATGTGATTTCATAACAAGGCACTGAAACTACAGTACTGAACACTCTTTAAAAACAAACAAATAATCCCACAGATGTCTCACGACTGTAACTAAATAGGATAAATTTAGGAGTTGCATCTTCCCCCCTTCACATTTTTCCTGGTAGGAGGCCTCTTTACCTACTTCGGTACTCTACTCCCCAGGGCTCTCTGGGCGACGGGTAACCTAACAGGTATACTGTGTCACTTTTAAACAACTATGCCTAATTTAGTAACTCACAGAAAACCTAATCAGTTGACTACATCACTTTTTAAAAACTAGTTCCTTATCCCCATTTTCATAACATATGAAGGCTTTTATATATTTAAAACAAGGTTTTCCTAGGTGTTATTGAGTCTTGGGGCAACCAGATAGGCAGTTTTTGGGTACAAGCTCAGTAATAGTTGTGGCAGGAGACACCGAAGAGATATAAATGGTTAAGTAGTCAAGTAAATGGATTCTTTCCATTTCAGTTACTGTAACAACACACATTTTAAGTTCAATAAAAAAGTCACACTAAATTATATTTATTGTGCACCTACTGTGCTAAAAACTACATCAGATGTTTTTCAAGTATGTTGATAATTATAAGTTAATAATAAAAATTATAATTTAATAAAATATTAATAGAAAAATCTTCCAAAACCTTTTGTTGATATCACATGCCCAGTTACAGGTAAGAAGGAAATCACCATACATTTAAACCAATCACCTAACCATCATCTCTGTTAGGAGAAATCTGAATTACAAAGCAAAGCTTTCATTGGCTTTGGAGTGAGATCTATTTCTACCACAGAATAGATTGTATAAGAGGAGGAAAACCTGGAAAGTTTCCCAGATGCTCCTAAATTACGTGTTCAGCTACTGTTTCTATTGGAGTGAACTAATAGCCACCACAGAACTGAAGAGAAGATTTTAAAACCAGCAAAAATATTTATTGAATTAATAAATGAATGAATGGCCAGAAACTCCGTCAGCTGGCTCTCCTTGGCCTTCCTTGTCCGAA